ATGCTCCATGTTTAGCACGAAATCCAGATTGGACCATTGGAAGAATATTGTTAGCCTCCAAAAACTCTAAAATTTGTTTATAAATTATCTTTTCGAATAATTTCGATATAGCCGGTAATATACTGATAGGTCGCAAATTACCAAAAGAACCGGGCGTCAATACCTTAGATATAGGGATAATATTAGCTGATTTCCATGCACAAGGAAATTTCCCAGATATGATTGAGCTGTTGAATATATTTTTGATATGAGTTATGCAGTGTGGCAATACGAGGTTTGCATTTTATATTGATATTGTCGGTACCGTAAGCACTAGATTTTATTTCCCTTGGGTTAGTATAAATATCTGTTTCATTAATTAAATTAATACTAAAATGTACATTATTGTACAGTTTGTTGTTTTGATAGTAGCTTGACGTATTAGGATCAACTTTTGAATATCCGGCCGCTGTCAAGAAATAATTATTTATTGCATTAGGGTCACTTAGTTCTTTAGGAATATTAATAGCGATGTTTGATTTTGTAGGAACCTCCCATTCTGAAAAATTCTGCCATAGTTTTTTACCATTATTTTTATTTTGTTCTACAATAAATTTAAAGTAAGCCTTTTTTTCACATTTTATAGCATTCTTAATATAATTTCTCAGTTCGACATAGTACTGGCGTTTAACAAGAGATTTGTCTTTTAGATATCTTTGAAATGCTTTTCTTTTTAATCCTATCATTTTCTTAATACTATAACTAATAAAGGGTTTCCCAATAAGAACGCTCGATCTTTAAAAGGTAATAAAATAAAAAGTTCAAATAAGACGGATATAATTTATCACTTATTTTAAAACATATATCGTGACATTATGTTTTAAAAATTATGTCACTTAAATGTCCGCCGCGGCTTTGCCTGGTGAGTCGAATTCTGCGAGTCCAGTTTTCGATGACCTGATTGCACAAGTGTGGCTCAATCGCAGCAATTTCTCGTCTGATGTTGGCTTTAAGTGGCGTTAAATTTTTTTTTTGGCGTTAAATTTTTTTTTTTTTTATATAAGGTTGATTTCGGCGCGCGGTCTTTTTTTTCCGCATTTATTCCGCAGAAAAAAAAATCGTGGTTGTTTGGAAAGGCTTGAAAGGAAACAATGTTTTTGCGACGTTTCGCGACTTTATTGTCGCTTCTTCACGGCACTATAGGAGAAGGCACGGCACTATAGGAGACTTCTTCACGGCACTATAGGAGAAGCAGTTTTTTTTAAACTGCTTCTCCTATAGTGCCTGAAGAAGCGACAATAAAGTCGCGAAACGTCGCAAAAACATTGTTTCCTTTCAAGCCTTCCCAAACACCCACGATTTTTTTTCTGCATATTAACTACTGGGAACTAACAATAATCATAATTATTTATTCCTTTTCCTAAAGCAGTTAAGGTTAAACCCAGTTTTGTCTGAAGGCCATAGGCCTCGTCTTTTTATTATATCATTTGGAATAACTGCTTTTATTCCGGAATTAACTAATGGAGGTGACAACAATTTACAATTTGATGGAATTTTATACTTTTTAACTATATCGTCGTGGTCATTTTGATGTTTCATTTTCCTTCGAGGATGGGTCTTCTCCTAAAATCTTTAAAGCATCTTCAGGTAATGTAATATCGCTATGAATGACCAGTTCATCTGATATATTTGGTGATTGTGTCGTCATGTCGCCCGGACTATGAGCTACACTCTCTGCTGTGTTTGACGAGACGCTTGGACAAGGTTGGATGGGCTCAAACAAACCGGCCCTGGCATTTTTTTTTCATTCGGCCAAAAAATACGTTATAAACATTTTACTGTAAAGAAAAGGAAGCCACATTTTGTTATTTTTATTTTCGATATAAATAAATACATAGTAGGAGAATGTATTATAAGTAAGAAGGTAAACACTATAACGATTTTACAACAAGAAAAAAAAAACAAATTTATTAATATAAAGTAATTATGATAGTTATTCATACGTTAAAGACCTTTTTAATAATGAACTTGAAGCTGCAATTTTATCTATAATTTCCTCATTTTCAATCTAGCTTAATAACAATTTTTCAACGTTCATTAACATAAATGCCTCCAATAGGTCATCGGCTAGTCTATTCATTAGCCGATTTTTAATATATTTTAGCGTCGAAAACGATCTTTCGCAAGTGACTTGAGATATTGGTATTGTAAGAATATACTGGTAAGCGAGTGCCAACATCGGATAAGCTTCTTGATACATGTTATATTTTGATATAACTACAACTTCGAAAATATATTTTGATATAACTTCTCTGTATGGACTTGATTTCTTGAATGGAGCTTTTTATCATAGAATTGCAAATAAGAACGTTTAAGCCTTTTGTTTGTAGATAACGCGATAAAGGACCGTAACTGAGAATATTTTTCAAAATATTTGACCTAAAAGATATTTTCATATTTTACTAAGCTATCCAAAAGGTTTTAGCTGTTCCGCGGGTGTCACCGTTAAGATTCGGATTGTTTAATATAATAAACAGAGACTGGACAACATCGATGTAAAGACCTACATTTGTGTCACCGAAATTGCGGAAAACTTTGTTTAGGGCCACCTGTTTTGCCCACCATCTAGTATCGCCTGTCATTTGCAGTGAGTTTATGAGAATCTTTGAAAAAAGTAACTAAGGAATTTAACAAAGTGAATAACCCTGCTGCTTTGACATGAGATTTCATGATATCCCCAATTACAAGATTTAAAATATGACTGTGGCACCATATATTCTACCATTCTAGTTGAAAAGCCGCTAGCTGCGACACAATTCTCAACTTTCAATCCACTTTCTTCCAGTACATTTTTAAGCATGGTGTGGAAACCCTTACCAGAAGTATCGTGACATGGAATGACTGCTAACAATTCTTTCATTAATGTTGCTTTGATAAACATATTTAGAAATTAAAAAACAATAAATCATTTCTTTTTATATCAGAACTAGTTATAGAATATAAAACTTTTACAAACATGCACCTGATTACAACCTACAACTGAGCATTGATCTGTCACAGAAATGTCTTGTGTTGTGTCTAATTCCACTGAATACAGTTCTGCCTGTATAATTTCTTTGGATATAATTTCTTTCATTTTTGTGGATATTGCAAATATTATACTGTTAACGGTAGTTTTGGAAAGATATATCAAGAAATTTCCAGCACGCTGTTTTACTCCACGACTTTTAGCCCACGGCCACACAGAAAACGTTTTTAGCGTCTCAAACGTTTTTTGGGATTTTACCGTTTGAAGCGTTTTTTGCGATTTGTGTCCATTAAAAACACGCAAAAGACGAAGAAGGTCTGCAATTTCTATGAAGATGTAACATCGCAAGCGCGTCGATCCCCGGCCCGTCCAACAGTCAATCCTGTTAGAAAGAGATAGCCGAGATCGGCGCGGTTAGCGTTGAGGAGACAAAGAAAAAAGATATGCTCGCACTGGGATCGACTGTTGAACGGGCCGGAGCGCAGATTCGTATTCGTACCAGTGGCGTGTGTAAAAATAATTATTTGCCATTTCTTTTACGATTTGTAATGTATAGATTTTTTATGTTGTAGTTTTGTGGTTACTTGTGTGTTTAACTATCATATAATAATATGATATAATAAATAATTATAATTTTATAATACGCTAGTCAATATTACTAGTTGCTAACGCAATTTTAAGACATGATTTATCAAACTTTTTTGAAGTGGCACTTCTTTACGCGCCCTGGGAGTAAAATATCAAGGCCGTGACACACGAGCTAGTACTAACGAAAAGTGGTAACGGCTTAGAAATACGTAGTGACGCGACGTGTATTTGTGAGTAGTCCACGTGCTTATCAAAAATATTGATATTTTAATACAAATTTTGTAAAAGTAAATAAAATTATTACGTGTAAAAACTATTTGTTACACGTAAAAAAACTATTAATATTATTAAAAAATTAATTTTATTACACGTAAAATAACAATTTTTATTATTTTTTTATTTTACGCGTATAAAACTATTTGCTCCACGTAAAAGAACTATTTTTTCTCGAAAAACACTACTCGCTACCTGTAAAAAAATATTTTTACACAAAAAATATATTTTTTATACATAAATAGTTATTTATGATATAAGTGCTAAAAGTGGTATTTTATTTTGTGAGAAGGGAAGAATGTCCCATCCCTTCGAACAAAATAAAATTACTTTTAGCACACATATCATACACTATTTTTTCTACAAACAAGTTTATGCTCGTATATATCAAGGTATTATTACTTTTTACGCTAATGAATAATTCATAATATGTCATTCTGAAATCAAATTAATTATGAAGTTTATGGTTGCTATGGTAATATTATCGCTTCAGTGTTAAAAGTAAATCACGTGACTTACTTTTAGCACTAGTGCTAAAAGTAAATGACTTTTACCATCAGTGACATAATGTCACATTTTAGGCACTGACAGCATGCGTTAAAAATTACATTTTTACTGACGTTTGTAGAAAAAATCTATTTTTTGCACCTAGAAAACTATTTTTTACACGTATAAAACTATTTGTTACGCGTAAAGAACTATTTGTTACGCGTAAAAAAACATTTTACGTGTAAAAAAAAATATTCCTTTAATTTATTACTTTTTCAACATTTCAAACTACACTTTTTCAAACATTTCCTTCAAATTTTTGAATTTAATAGAATCTTCCTAAACAGTATATGTTCTCTATAAAAATACATTCTATTCTTTACAACTTTCGATATGTTGTGTATACACCATTAACAACCCTATGTTCTATCTGCTGTGATTCACCAACATTTTGTTCCCCTTGCTGTACATCATCAATATTCTGATCCACTAATTGCTTCTTTTTTTTCATTTTTATAATTAGTGATAATATCTCAGATTTTATTTCCAGTTTTTCTAAATCTGTGAAATCAGCTACATGAGGTACTAAACTTTTAAAAAACAGCAAATCCGCATTTTCTTCTTTGCAGTCTTGTTCTAAAAGCTAAACTTTCCTATTTTCCAGTTCCAAAAACTTGTCCTGCACATCTGGTTTGGTTCTCTTTTGTCGACTAAAAATTGAGCCACTTTCTGCTGCTCTGTGGGATGGCCCTGAAGAATGTGAGTTTTGAGCAGACATATTATTATAATCATCCTCCTGTCCATTTTCGGATTCACTTGAATCTCCCGTTTCCATCAGTGAAGTCCCTTGCGTTTGCGAATTAGTTTCCATTGGTAAATTTCCTTGCGTCTGCAAAGGAACGACAAAATCTCTTAAGAAGTACATCTGGTCAAAATACTGCCATTTGGGTTTCCCAGGTAGTGAGGGATCTCCAGATTTCGGAACTGGTATTTTTTTAACCTCCTTTCTAAACTGATCCTTCAAATTCTTCCATTTGAGTTTTGCATCGGAAACTGAAAATAAAATCATTGGAATACTAAAAAATGCAACTAATACAAAATAATATGCACAAATGAAAACTTATTTTTGTTTTAGGTATTTGGCAACTGGCGCTTCATTTAGATCTTTGGCGTTTTCCTTCAGAATGGGAAAATCTACAATTAGCAAAATAGTTTTTGAGACTTGTGCAGTTATATGGGAAGAGCTTGTTGACGAATTTATGCCAGTTCCTACTGTAATACATTTAAAAAAAGTTATAGGTGACTATTATAATCGGTGGAAATTTCCAAATTGCTTCGGTTCTATAGATGGAAAATACTGTCAGATTAAATGTCCAACGAATTCTGGGTCACATTATTTTAACTATTTGCACTACTTTTCTGTGGTTTTACAAGCTGTTGCTGACGCAGATAAAAAAAATTTTGACGATAGAAGTTGGAGGGTGAGGTAAACAGAGTGACGGTGGGACTTTTGCAGGATCAACACTATTTAATTTTTTGGAAAGTAATATGTTCAATGTGCCTCAGTCAGCCAACCTACCAAATACAAATATTAAACTACCAAACTTCTTAATAGGAGATGAAGCATATCCTCTGAAGACATATTTAATGAGGCCTTATCCAAAAAGAGCTCTTAATCCTCAGAAAGAACACTTTAATAAATATCTCTCTAGTGCTCGGAAATGTATAGAATGCGCATTTGGAATAATGTGTGCCAAGTGGCGTTTTCTAAATAAAGATATAGAGACACTGCCTGACAAAGCTTGCATACTTATCAAGTGCGCCTGTATATTACATAACTTAATAAGGGAAAAAGATGGCGACGTGATCTTCATTATTGTCAAGTAATGCAACAGATGTCATTACGATTAGACTGTACTGATCGACCTGCTTCTGGTGGCAGAACGCATAATAGAGGAAGTACAACAGCAATTCAAATTCGTGAAGAACTTACAAATTACTTATTTCAATTGCCTCGATAATTATTGTAATGTAATTCACATTTATATTTCATTATATCGAATAAATTAATGTGTGTATGTATAATGTAAATAATAAAAAATCCTAATTTCTATTGCTATTAATTGTTATATTTATAATTATTTTTCAATACTTACCACTACAATTACATGCCGCAGCAACCTCTTGCCATATTTTTTCAATAGCATTTTTGTTTTTATAGAGTGGATGACTATCTTGCCACAAAGGTCTCCGTGTTTGCACTTCGGATATAAGAAGTTCTTTATTTACGTTTTTGCCACTGCTACACATTTTGTCACGCTTTATTCTCAATTATATTTATCATACTGACAACAAAAATAATAATAAAAACAAGTTTCTACATATCATAAATATTTACTTCGGCCGTATTCGTCACAATTCGGTGTCCCTTCACAACATTCGCACGCTCGAAATTCAAACAGATTTGTTTTTTAATAATTCGCTCGCTGCACGCTCGAATATCGCCCGCCCGCAAAAGTTCAGTGTGGTCACTTGTATTGTAGCCCAGTGTTTAGAAAAATCGCTCGCTCGCTGGACGCCCGCCCGCTCTTCAGTGTGGCCAAAGCCTTAGACGCAAAAGACGCTTCACGCTAAAAACGCAAAAAACTCTTTCGGTGTGGTCGTGCACTTATATTCCTTGCTTTGTTTGATTATCTTATCTAAATGAGTCTTTAGGATAATGTCGTATTTTCCAATGAGCATAATTATTTCTAAAAAAAATCCATGATCAAGATTTTGATCATCCATTGTATAGGCGGATTGATTAGCTCTCCTGAAAATAAATACGTTTTCTATAACAAGCACAGTTTTCTTTAATATGCACATCCAATTTAGCGAATCTTTTGCAAAAGGGAATTTAAATATCGCATGCATAATATTTTTTAACAGCCGCAGATACATGATACATACCTGAAAGATAAGCCTCTTTTCCCAATAAGTTTTATGACATCGAGTACCCTATCTAGGATCTGTCTGTTTTTCGTGACTTCTGAATTATGTTTTGTGGTCATATCTTCAAAAAGCACTTTATCAATAGTTTTGTCGGCAGAATACAAAAAATAAGATTTGGCAGTTTCTTCCATGCATATTGGAATGTTCATATTCACTAATTCGCTGATGAACATGTCTCCAATCACACATTCCTTCCGTAAATATATGTTTTTCATTGATAACACAAAAAGCAACATACGGAGCAGTATAATTTTCTTTTTATAGTACTGTAGGACAGCCACTACGTGTTTGATGGTGATTTGATCTTAATAAGACTTTTTTAATATCAAAATCCACTATGCATTGATCTGTTGGAGTTTATAGGTGGTAGGTGAAAAACCATGTCTTTTTATTATTTTGAAGCTTATTTATTGGTAAAAAGCCAACGAGTTACAACATTTTCTTTGGTTTCAAATTTTTATATTTTATATACTCAGTTTCTTGGAGTTTTTGTCGAATATATAAAGTATTATAAATTTAGGAAACGTCCGTAATCGGTCCTAAATTGTACCGGCCCACCGGGCATTTGCCCGGTTGCCCCATCTCCAACCCTGGGCTTGGATCTCGGGCTACACATTCCGATCTAAACGACCTTTCCATCACGGCATTAAGTGAACTAGGAGAGCGTTGTCGTGAGTCGTGACCGTACTCGACGTTCTGTGCAAGAACGCGATGGAGAACGGCCGCGATGCTCCGTTCTATGCTGGCGTGATCGTTCTTTGCGGCCCGCACGGGAACGCGATCTAGAACGTCCGCCATGTTTAGATTTCCTTTTATACTAATTTTCTCAAGGAAGAATCTGACTCACTACTACTACTAGAGGATCGATGTCTCTTTTTATTTGGTTTTCCCATGATTACAAAAAAGAAAAGATAATATTTCGATTCGTTTACTTACGTATCTGGACGGAGCGACGTACAACAACAATCTCGCGATAGCACAAAAAGGCGAATAACGGCGTACGACACACACGGACAGGTCTCAAGTTGAGACCTGTCAGCAGGTTCGTTATAAGCAAACATTAGTGTACCTATTATAATAATTTGTATGAGGTTGTTAGTGAGAATGGGAAAATTCCTTACCAAAATTAGTAACTCTGGATTGGTGATTGGTAATTGAGCCATGCTTTAATAAATCATTCTTATGTGTCCTTAGATGTGAACAGCAAACCACACAATAAGCTTCCTTCCCCATAACATCACCATAGCTTTTTGTAGCCATCCTTAAGAATAACACCACCAATAATTAACATACTTCATGCGACATAATATTATCTACAATTATTGAGAACAAAAGCTGCTTACCTTTGAAATTTGGTAGCGTTTCCCACGAGCTCTTATACTTTTTTTCATATGCTACCCATTTCCCCATTGTACAATACAAACAAAATCATGAAAAACAAATTCGATTATTCGAATAAAAAATCTCTCAAAACTCAAGGTATTTTTGTCTCTGCTCTCATCTCCAATAATTATTATTATTATTCTTTCTTTCTTTCTCCTCCTTTAATTTTCAATCCTCCTTTCTTTCTCTGTACGAGACTACAACATACTAGTACGAGAGCTAGCAACGTCGGAAAAACAAGTATTTTAAGACGTCTAGCTCTTTGATATATCTTTTACTATGCTCTCTAGAACAACATGCAGCCCGTCTGGCTGCCGGTAAACGTTATGTTCCCTACTGCGCATTGAAAGAAGATCCTATATTTTTATTAGTCCTTTAAATTGTAGTATTGAACATAAATTGAACATGTCTCCATAGCACAGTGCGTAGAGTTTCCGAACACGAACCGAGGATTCAGAGTTCGAAACCGGCTCAGGACAAAGACTTTTTTATTTTATTTTCGTTTATATTATGATAGTAAAGTATTAAATATTTGTGTTTTTTTTTAATCACCAGAACTATTTAATACCTTACTATCAGAATATAAACGAAAATAAAATAAAAAAGTCTTTGCCCTGACCCGGATTCGAACTCTGAATCATCGGTTCGTAGTCGGAAACTCTACGCAGTGCGCTATGGAGACATGTTCGATTTATATTCAATACTAGAATTTATAGGACTAAATTAAAAAAATATATAGGATCTTCTTCCGATGCGCAGTAGTGAACGCAACGGGTATCGGCAGCCAGACGCGTCTGAACAAAAAACAACAAACAAAAAAAAACTTTTGAACAACATGTTGTTCCAGAGAGCATAGTAAAAGATATATCAAAGAGCCAGACGTCTTAAAATACTTTCTCGGAAACGTAGCTCTTAAACTATACGTTGCGTTTCCGCCTGTGGATTCCGCGTTATTCGGCCAGAAAAAAAAGAAGATGGGCCATTCCAACCTTCGAAAAAGAAGAAGTCAGCCTAAAGTATATTTTCTTTGTAGCCCAAAAAATCGCAGAAAATTTTGAGAATTCCCCAATGCGACTAGTTCCAGAAAGGTAAAATGTGTCCCAAAATGGTTTTTAAAGTAGCCCAATCTGCGATAAGTCGCCCAATCTGGAAACCCTGGTCTCAACTGCTAGAGGCAGAGCTGGTGGTGGGGTTCGTCTTTAAAATCTTGTGGATAGGTAGTGCTACATGGTCAAATAATTAACATCTTTGGACTGGATATAGGACGAAATATAATTAGTATTAATATCGAAAAGTGATAAAAATGAGGAGGCTCCCCGAAAATGGTGGGTTGTAGAAGAAAACAGGGAGAAAAGTGGGAACTATATTTGGAATGCAAGATGTGATTTTACATAAGAATCAGAAAGAATGATGTATAGAAGGAGCAATATATGAATGACTTGCTCCTCCTATACTTATTCTTAATCTAAGCATCAAATAAAGAAGTTCCCTTTACGAATACATAGATAAGTGTATTCAAGTCCCCACTGATTTTTTTATATATTCTTATGACAGTAAATATATTTATTCTTTAATATACAGGGTCGCTGATATGCATAAAAATGGTCGATTATTGGGCAAAGTATACAAGGTCCCGCAAAAAGTTAAATACAAAAGTGATAGGGTTTTTAAATGCCTAACATCTAGTAATAAATTTAAGTACACAGGGGCGGTCATAAAGTCATGGCACCTCAAAGTTTCATTTTTTAAATGGTTATTATTGGGTATTTCAATTCAATTTTCAGTAAAAATTGTAATACACATAATGTACGTAAATCCTAACCTAACCATTTCCGAGATACCGAGTTTTGATTTTGAAATGTTAACGAAAATTTTGTTATTTCCAGACTTGATATATAAATCATTTTATACAGCTATAAATGCTAACTTGCAAACTAATATCAAATAGTATTAACCCGTAACTGGCGAGGTCCATTTTCTATTACGGATCTGGTGAGGTGGGGCCATACTGACCCCATTTTTTTTTGTAAGAAAAACTAGTAAAAATTAATCAGATTAAGAAAACAACTTTTTAACTTAAAAACATTTATTTTCTTATAGCTTTAACATAGGTATTTATTTTAAGATGATAAAACTTCAACTAAGAAATAAAAAATTAAAAAAAAACAGTTTCAAAAAATTTCTTTTTGTTAAAAATGTGAACTAAGATATCCATTCTAACAAACTAGTAAAAAAAAATTAAACAAATAAAACATTTTTTTGAAAACTGCAACACTTATTTAGACACAATCTCTGCAAATATGTTCTTCACACATGTGGCATATAGGAGCCTTGCAGCTAACGCAAGCTATCTTGGTTTTTTTGTCCAATGAGCGAGGACATTTGGAACATCTAACTCTTTTCGCTAAGACATTATTGTACTGTTGAGGAGCATCCTTTCCCAAAATGGAGGCTATGTTTTGCCTTAATTGCCTTGGAATTTGTACTGTAGCCAGTCTTCTTTCCATGTGATCCTCAACAAGCTGCCGTGCCAGGGACTTGATGAAGTCATATCTCGATTGCTGAGGATTTCCAGGGACAGATGAGTATATTACAAACGCATTGACAGACGAAATATCCAAAATTGTAAAAAAAATAGTAACAGGCCATCTTCAACTTCTACGATGTGTAGAATACACTGTACAGGGTGGGTCAAATTCGACGCTTTTAAATAGTAAAAGTAAAGTAAAGTAAGTAAAAGTAAAAGTAAAAAGTCTTTATTTCTAGAGTGGTACATAGTTTTACAAATTATCATAAAATATAAATAGTAGTAACCTAGTTACCTAATCAGTAATATAATTCATACAAGTACGTGAATTCATAATAGATATCAATATAAATATTTACAAAAATAGCAAATGGAAACAACCTTTTCTATAGGAGATAGACGAAAATTAATATCAGTGTCTGGAGCTCAATTTTCATCAAAAACATGATGGTGAAAACCGCACATCAATATCTGTTACCGTTTCGTAGATACGGGGGGATCATTTTAACAAATCG